CCCTGAGTACCCCCCAGACTGGCCATGCCCGAGCTCACCTGCTCTTAGACAGCCCTGTTTGTTTGCCCAAGGTATTTGCAGCCGGGGGCACCTGCTTTGATACCATCAGCTCCGCCAAGGAAGCTGCTCACCTAGCGTGACCCCTGTAATCCCATCCTTCCCCATTAAGCGCTGTGTGTGAGCGCATCCCCCCCCTCCCACCCTCCTGCCATCTCAGCATTTATCTCCCCCTCCCCAAGCTGAGCACATCAAGGCTGTGACACTGCTGGGGAGGGGGGGAGCAAACCTCCCCAAAACACCTAGAAAGGGGCCTGGCAGTGCCAACACCCCCTAGCTCGTCCATTGCCCCCCCTGGGACCGGGGTGTTCCCTCTCCCTGGCATTGCCCTGTGGCAGGGCTGAGGACCAGCCAGCACTCATGGAAAGGCTTTGAGATCACAGAATCTTCTAGGTTGGAAGGGACCTTAAAGATCATTTTGTCCAACCGTCAACCTAATTTTGACAAAACTAAACACCCACACAACAAACAAGAAGCAACACCATCACTAAACCATACCTCCCAGCACTACATCAACCCGTCTTTTGGACACTTCCAGGGATGGTGCCTCCACCACCTCCCTGAGCAGCCCATTCCAACGGCTGATGGGTCAGTCCTGCAGTGGATTGGGCAAGCTTGGTCTCCTCAAGCCTCCTGCCACCAGCACCATGTCCCCCATGGTGTCACTTTGCCCCCTGGCAGGACTGTCCCTCCTGCCACAGCCCCTTATCCCAGCTACCTAGACAACCCCAAGGAAACCAGCACCCCGTCCTGGGCTCTGAGCCAGCCACCTTCCACCATCCCAGACCAACCTTCCAGGAGCACACTGTTAAAAATGACCTACTGGCTCTTATCTCCCCAAGTCAAGCTTCTCCTCCGTGGAGAGCAAGCAGGACCAAGGCTGGGCAGATAAATTAGCCCTGACCCCTTCCATCTGCACACAGGTGGGGAGATCTAGGAGGTCCTATGCATGCTAGCAGGGACTGGGCACCAACTTGGCACCAGCGCAGCCACAGCTCTGTTTGCTGCCCTGAACTCCCCTCCTGCACCACCAGCACAAGGCACTGGTGCACCGTGCCCCACCAGCACCTCTCAAACACACATCCAGCCCTTGGGGAGGATGCTCCAGCCTCTCCTCACTCAGCAGGGCTGCCCAACTGCCCCACTTTCCACAGGCTTCCCCAGGGCAATGAGATTTGCTGGGGTTTCTCACAGTGCCTGTGGGCATGAGCACAGAGTGCCAGTCCCGGGCATCCTATTGCCCCCAGGGGTGGCAGGAGGAACGATACCCACCTCAGCATCCCCGCAGAGGCAGACCCTCTCCACCCGGGGACCAGGAGCAAGGTCCTGGATGCCCTTGGTTGGCATCCCAAGGGCTGCCCAGACACGGAGGGGGTGGCCATGCCCTGGTGCGAGCCCCCAGCGGGGCTGGCAGGGCAGCAGAGGGACCAGGAGCTGGAGGGGACCCCGGTGTCCCCCCCACCGGGACCGGAGCGGGGCCACCGCGCTGCCCGCCTGCCACCTAGTGGTCCCCGGGCTGGTCCCCGCCACCGGCCTCGGGTCCCCCCGGCTGGTACCTGCATCTCATCCCGCATCCCTGGTGGATGCCCCTTCCAGCCCCCCCGGTATCTACCCCTCCCCCGGCCGGTTCTGCTCTGTCCCCCGGTGGCCCCCGGGCAGGCAGGGTCCCCAGCCCCGTGTCACGGCGTTGGGATGCCCACAGTCCTTTCCCCTTCGCTGCGAGGAGTCATCAAAGCCTCTCTCAAGGGCTGTTGGGGACCAGAAGGAACCAGCAGGGATGTGGGATGCAGGGAGAAGCTGCACAGGCTGCAGAGGGGAGAAGCAGCCCCACTAACAACCTGTGAGGGAGCCTGAGCTGTGAGGATCATAGAATCATAGAGTCATAGAATTGCCCAGGCCGGAAGGGACCTCCAAAGGCCATCTAGTCCCACCCCCCCGCAGTCAGCAGGGACACCCCCAACTAGACCAGGTTGCCCAGGGCCTCGTCGAGGCTCACCTTGAATATCTCCAGGGATGGGGCCTCAACCACCTCCCTGGGCAACCTGTTCCAGTGCTCCACCACCCTCACAGTGAAGAACCCTCTCCTCATCTCCAGTCTAAAGCTGTTCCCCTCCAGCTTGAAGCCATTGCCCCTCGTCCTGTCACTACAGGCCTTTCTAAACAGGTTCTCCCCAGCCTTACTGTAGGCCCCTTCAGGTACTGGAAGGCTGCTATTAGGTCTCCCTGGAGCCTCCTCTTCTCCAGGCTGAACAACCCCAGCTCCCTCAGCCTGTCCTCGTAGCAGAGGTGCTCCAACCCCCTGATCATCCTTGTGGCCCTCCTCTGGACCCTCTCCATCAGGTCCATGTCCTTCTTATATTGAGGGCTCCAGACCTGCATACAATACTCCAGGTGAGGTCTCACCAGAGCAGAGCAAAGTGGCAGAATGACCTCTCTAAGGAGGCAGGAGACAGGATCCACCCTGGAGGATGTCCTACCAAGTCTGTGCCACTGAGACACTCACTGTCCCAGGACACCAACAGGGCAGGACAGTACCTGGCGCTTCTCAGGAACAACAGCCAGTGTCAGAAACAAGGAGGGGTGAGATAGGTATCAACCAGGGATGCAATATCAGATGTGGGGAAACCACCACAGAAACATTTAAGGACATGATTGTGCCCCAGAGCTGAGAAATGCCACCCAAATGAAGCACAGAAAGGACCAAACCCTCCCTGGATACCCAGCCCCGGGGGTGATGTGACTCCCCAGCAAAGGCCAGAGCTCAAACCTCCCTGCACCCTGCAGACACTGGTGTTTCACTCCTCCCCGGGATGCTCCTCAGCTGAGAGCAGGACACAAAAGGGAGGACCTTGCTGGGACAGCACCCAACCCCAGAGCAGGGGGGTGTTGCTCATGGCTGGGTTACCTTTGGGAGCACACATGGAGCTGGGTCCCTGCCCAGTAGAGCCCCCGTGACTCTGCCCCTTCCCTCAGTATCCTGGTGCAGCGCTGGGCTGGCTGGTGGGGCACAAGCGTGCAGAGCCCACAGGGGAGAGAGAGGCCCCTCTGAGCCCCCCCTGGGGACTCCACAGCATCAGCGAGGAAAGTAGATATCAGGGACTGGACGTGGAGGAGCATCTCCCACCGCAGCCCACACAGGAAGAACCTGTCACCCAGCAGTGACCCCCCTCCAGACCTGACGCCTGAGAGACCTTTATTCAGAGTGTAAAAAGTTCTTTACAAAGCACATTGACCTAGAACCTCCCTCCGAATCACAAATAGGCTGGGAGCTCCCACCCCACCACAACTGCAGCCAAGGACGCAGCCCGGGCCCGTTTCACACTTCCAGGTGTATAAAAACCATCCGTCCCAGTTTGGGCTGGGATAATTCACTTCTCACAAGTGCTGTCTAGCTGGTCTAGCACTGTGATTTGGGTTTTGGATGAGAATAATACTGACAACACAGTAATATTTTAATTATTGCTAAGCAGTCGAGGACTTTTCTGCTCCTCCCATGGCCCGCCAACAAGAAGGTGAGGGGCACCCAAGAGGCTGGGAGGGGACACAGTAGGAGAGTTGACCTCAACTGACCCAAGGGATATTCCACCCCATGTGGTGTCACACTCAGCATATAAAGCTGGGGAAGAAGTAAGGGTGGGGGTGTTTGGAGTTCTGGTGTCTGCCTTCCCCAGAAACCGTTAGGTGTGACAGACTCCTGCTTTCCTGGAGATGGTTGAACACCTGCCTGCCTGTGGGAAGCAGGGAATGAATTCCTTGTTGTGCTTTGCTTGTGTAAGACAGCTTTTTGCTTTAGTTATTAAATTATCTTTATCTCAACGCATGAGTTTTCTCACTTTTCTGATTCTCTTCCCCATCCCCCTGGGCAGGGGGAGCGAGCGAGTGGCTGTGTGGTGCTTGGCTGCTGGCTGGGGTTAAACCATGACAGCACGGAATTGTGAGTAAAGAAAGACAAAACCATGAAAAATCAATGAAACTGCCTGTTCCACCACTGGCTTCACGTCCCTCTGCTGGGGAAGGGGCCAGGAGTGTGTGTTTGAGAGTAGGGAGAGGAGGTGCAGGGAGCAGAGGTCCAGGAGAGCAAAAAGGCACAGGGCAAGGATCACGTCCTCCATCCCTGGCTCCCAGGGATGTACAGGGCTGGGGGAGAGGGGATAAACCAGCAGCATCCATCCAGGTTTGGGACCAACCTCCCAGTGTTGTGGGAAAGGAGATATCCTGGTGCTGGGAGCAGCTTCTGCTCCCCAAAAAGTTACAACAGAAAAAAAAAACCAAACAAAAAATCAAAAACCAACAAAGCAGCAGATGTTGAGGTCCGGGCAAGAGGTGTCCGAGGTAAAAGCCATCCCAGGAGAGAAGTCCCAGCGAGTACCTGGAGGAAGAACCAGACTGAGACCAGCAGCCTCCCATGGCAAGGCAGCTTCCACCCACACTTGCCACACGGGTGTCACAGCCACCTGGACCCTTCCTCCAAGGCTGCCTGCCCCCTCACCTTGCCTGGAGACAAGTTACTGCTTCCTCCTCTGCTTCTTGGCTGGCATGATAGGAGCAACCTCCTCCTCCTCTTCATCAGACAAGTCATCATCCTCCTCAAAGGAAGCATCGTCCCTGTGCACTGGGGGGACACACAGATAACTCTGTTACGCACCAACTTATGTCTCTGCAAACACAAGTGGCCCCCAAGACACCCCAAGAGCAGAGCAGCCCAAGGAGCACTGGAGAAGTTTCAATGACAGCTTGTGGGCAACAAGCTGTATCCCAGCTGGAGGGAGGTCCCAGAGGCGAATGGGAACAACCAGCCATGGCAAAAGGGGACAGGATGGACCATCCTCTTCCCCCAGGCACAGCTTTACGGCAGGGAAGTCATCCCTGCATGGAGATGGCCCCTGGGGAACCAGCACAAAGGAGGCACCATGCAGACAAGTTGAGGAGAGCAACCTCCCAGGGGCTCCCTCCCCAGTGGGTGCTGGTGCTGGAGGGAGCCCCTCCGTCCCCCTCGCTCCTCCCGAGCCCTTCCCCACACACGAGTCCTTACAGATCTGGTGCCAGCCAGCCAGGTGAACTGGGCCAGAGCCCGCTGCCAGGCGGAAAGTCACTGGAGGCTGCAGCTTGAAGTTGTCCAGACTCAGCTGCAAAGAGAGATGAGGCTGAGTTAGGGCGTGCTGTGGCCTCGCCTGGGGTAGAGGTCATTTTCTTCATATGGGGGTTCTGTTTTGGGTTTGTGCTGGAAACAGTGCTGATAACACAGGGATGTTGTCGCTCTCGCCGGGCAGTGCTGACACAGCATCGTGGCCTTTTCTCCTCCTCACCCCACCCCAGCAGGGTGAGGGCACACAAGAAGCTGGAAGGAGACACAGCCGGGAGACCCCAACCCACCAAAGGGATATCCCACCCCATGGGGTGTCACAGTCAGCAGATAGAGCTGGCGGGAGAAGAAGGAAGAGGGGGGACATTTGCAGTTATGGAGTTTGAATTCCCCAGTGGCCGTTTGGTGGGACGGAGCCCTCCTTTCCTGGAGATGCCTGAACACCTGCCTCCCGTGGGAAGAGGGGAAATTTGCTTTGCTTGCAACACGGGGATTTTGCTTTACTTATTGAACTGTCTTTATCTCAGCCCATGAATTTTCTCACTTTTACTCTTCTGACTCTTTCCCCATCTCCCTGGGGGCAACCGAGTGAGCAGCTGCAGGGCGCTCAGTCGCTGGTTGGAGTCAAACCATGACATAGGGGCAGAGATAAAAGGAGAATGACCCACAGAGCCCAGCACAGCACCCAGCCCGGCTACACACATCCTTCTGAGGGCATCAGCAGCCAGACCAAGGCTGTCCAGGACACCCCTCTGCGAGCTGCAGACCAGCTCATGGTCAGGATCCTAGGGGGAAAGGTCCACAAACATCCAGAGACGTCCAGTTCCCCGCAGCCATCCCCACCTGAGTCTTCAAAGCGACCTCTTACCAAGGGCTGGCATGACAGCTTCAGATTGGCCACGGGCACAGCGATCTCCTGGTTCTCGTGGTTTCGCCCAACGACCTCCACCACGTTGCACTCGTCCTTGGCACCCTCTGTGAGACAGACCTGGGTGGGAGGGGAGACTGTGAGCTACTGCTCTCCCAGGGGACACAGCAGGGACAGCTGGGGGTCTCCATGGGACAGGCAACCCACGGCAGCAATGCTACCAGCCCAGTCACCACGCAAGGTGTGAGGATGCTGCTCCACAAAACAGGAGAGCGTGGAGCCCCCCTACCCCCACCCTGAGGGGCTTTGTGCCTTTCCCAGCTGGGACAGCTGTTCCTCAGCCTCAAGGGATGGCACCTGGGCTGCATTTTCTGCTGATCTGATCCATGCTGCCAAGTCCTGTGCTCCTGGGACAGAAAGCATCCCCCAGGGAGAGCCAGGAATGGACCCCTGCATCTACCTGGGCTTGGAGAGCAACAAGCCAGAGGCCCAGCTGGTGAGGGGGGCCGTGTTTTAGCAGGAGGCTCCATCCAGCAAGGTCAAATACAAGGAAAAAAATACTTTCCTTCACCCCGTGTCTGGAATATTCCTTTGCTGAACAGCCTCCTGATGCCACTGGCTTTGCTCAAGCAGCTCCATAAATGTGACAGCCCTGTGTCCTGCCCTGAGAGCAGCAAGACCTCAGGCAAAGGAGTCACCTGGTCCAGCCTGGCCAGGGAAGGGGGGATGAGGCTTTGGGCCACCATGAGAGAGGACAAACACAGTTAATTCTCATTTGCCTTACCACAGACAGGGCCAAAATGTGGTCAGAGTCATCTTCCTCATCCACCTGGAAGGTGTAGGACTTGGTACGGGCGGTCAGCTCACAGCCTGGAAAGAGGACATGGGAAAAGCTGCAGCAGCCATCACTGGCCCCAAATGCCATGGGCAAAGGGTTCCCAGGGCAAGCCCCGACTGGGCAACCACATCCCCCAAACACTTCATTTGCTCGTGCTCAGGAGCAGCCTCAGGCCAGGGCACCATGAATGAAGTGTCCCTAAGAACTACAGAGCCAGCTCAGCACCATACAAGGACAAAACACGTTGTCCCCAAACCAGGCTGCCATGAAGCATTGCCCAGGGACACCCAGTAGAGGCAGGACAAGGCTCATCCCCTCCAGAGCCACAGAGCCAGGGTGCGCTGCGCTGGACGACAGAGAGGGAGCAGGCAGAAAGGCAGCTCTGCTCTCCCCAGTGTCAGCAGAGCATTGGCTCTGGTGAGAATCTGGAGGCAGAGACACGTGAATCCCAGAATGATATGGGGTTGGAAGGGACCTCTGGAGATCATTTGATCCAACCCCCTGCCAGAGCAGGGCCACCCAGAGCAGGTCCCACAGGAACGTGCCCAGGTGGGGTTTGAATGTCTCCAGAGAAGGAGACTCCACCACCTCCCTGGGCAGCCTCTGCCAGGGCTCTGCCACCCTCACAGCAAAGAAGTTCCTCCTCACGTTTAGGTGGAACTTCTTACATTCAAGTTTTGTCTTGTCCTGTCCCTGGGCACCACTGGAAAAAGCCTGGCCCCATCCTCCTGACACCCACCCTTTAAGGATTTACAGGCGTTGATCAGATCCCCCCTCAGCCTTCTCTTCTTTAGAACAAAAAACCCAAAGTCCCTCAGCCATTCCTCATCAAAGAGATGCTCCAGGCCCCTCATCATCTCTGTAGCCTCTGCTGTCCCCTCTCCAGCAGTTCCCTGTCCTTCTGGAACTGGGGAGCCCAGAACTGGTCCCAGTGCTCCAGATGGGGCCTCCCCAGGGCAGAGCAGAGGGACAGGATGACCTCCCTCCACCTGCTGCTCACACTCTTCCTGATGCCCCCCAGGATGCCCTTGGCCTTCTTGGCCACCAGGGCCCATTGCTGGCTCATGGGCATCCTGTTGTCCACCAGGACTCCCAGGTCTCTCTCCTCAGAGCTGCTCTCCAGCAGGTCAGTGAGATCTGAGTGATGAGAAACACCCCGAGGGGAGGGCGCTGGGCCGGGCTGCAGGAGGTGGAGTCCCTCAGGGCAAGTGTCGAGACAGATTTTATTACATCCTTCCCCAAACAGCTAAAACAACAAAAACAAGGGAGATGCAAAATTATGTCCTTGGCTTTTGGGATGAGGATTCAGCCGACGGCGGGGAGGAAGGGAAGGCAGAGCGTGCTGGGTGTGTTGGGTTGGTGCAGGATGATTCACAGATGGGAAAAGGGCAGAGCTGAGCCCTGCCCCCCCCGGGGGAGGAGGAGGAGGAATGAGCCTCGACAAACAGCCCTGGGCAGGACCTCTTCCCACCCGCCATGATGTGTCCAGCTCAGCAGGGCAAGGACCGAAATCCAGGTGCATAAAGGGCTCTGGGGGGGGGAACTGCTGATTGGGTTCCTTGGGGTGCTGCTCTGCTCCCCCCGGAGGTGCTGGGGGCCGGGAGCACCCCGGGAAGCATCCCCCCCTCCTGCTCCATCACACCTTTGGGGACAGAGCGGGGGCCACGCGTGACGGGGCTTTAACCCCCCCCAAAAATCCTCCTGAGGAGGAGGAGGAAGAGGAGGGACGGGCCCCGCCGCCCCACAGCGGGCACCCACCGAAGGCCGGCGGGGGCTAAAGGGAGGAGCAGCAGCAAGAATCATCCCCCCCC